GGAGTAGAAAGCCTGGTCTTTCTCCTAAGGAGTGGCTGGTGTTTTCAAACTGCTGACTCTGAGGTTAGCAGCTCAATGTGTAACCGCTCCTATGATACCAAAGTCAGTGATAAATAAGGTAGCCGGCCCTACTTACCTTTCAAAGCCCAAGCCTTAGCATACCTGGCACACAGGGGCACTCAGTAAGTGTCAAATCAGTGCTTTAACTCTCCACTTGTCAACTCTGCAGAAGTATTTTATTCCATCAATCAGTTGCACTCTAGTAGATAACAGGCCCTGGTGGCGCTGTACAGGAAGCACTGGACTGCTAAGCACAAGGCCAATGCAAATCTACCAGCTGCTCTGAGAGAAAGATGAGGATACCTGCTCCCAGAAAGATTTGCAACCTTGGAAACCCTCATAGTGTCCCTTTCAGTCAGAATCGACTTGATGGCAGTGAGGTTTTAGGAGCGTTTTCCTGGCTACAGTCATTAATAAGGAGCCCTGGCAGCATAGTGGGCTGCTAACTGCAGAGCCAGCAGTTTGAAACCACCAGCTGCTCTGTGCGACAGGCTTCCTATTCCCAGAAAGAGTTCGTTTTGGAAACCCAGAAGGGCAGTTCTACTCTATCCTGCAGAGTCGCTATGAGTCAGTATCAACTCCATGACAGTGAGTTTGAATTGAGTTATTCACTGTTTAACTCAAAACTCACTACCATCGAGTGAATGCCTCCTGGTAGCATGGTGGATATGGGTTGGCCTGCCAACGGCAAGGTCCCTAGTACAAAACCACTAGCTGCACTTGGGGAGAAAGGCAGGCTTTCGGCTCCCATAGAGTTACAGTCCCAGAAACACACAGCGGCAGTTCTACCCTGCCCTATATGGTTGCTATGATTAACTCTTCAGTCTACTGAAGTATTTTGATTGTAAATCACCCAGTATGCAAAGGTCTGCTTAGTTATGCTGTGTTCTACATATAGCTATGCCAATAACATGTAGCTAATGAAAAATGTAATCGATAAATTACAGCATATTTATAGATTTTTAAAATAACCCAAAACCCATGCCACTGAGTTGATTTCAACCCATAGAGACCCTATATAGAACATACACATGTTACATAAAAGGCTTTTTTTAGTCTAAAATTATAAAGCATACGATAATTTGGCTTCTAAGTCTCAAAAACAAAATTTTTTGTAGCCCACAAATCATACTCAAACTGTGATGAACCATTTCTGTAACCTATGTTGGGACGAAGGTTGCCTGTGCTCTGTTAACTAGATCACACTCAGGCAGGCCAGGTTCTAAATCTAATCACTTCTGCATTACTCAGAGCAGATTAGACACAGCAGCCTGCTCGCACACACAGAGGCAAGAGGGGGCACAGATGACCACGGAACCCCACACTGCCTGGGGCTCCCAATAGGAAGGGGTCGCCGTTTCAACCTGTTGCATCCGGGATGGTGAGAAAACACCTTTCTGGGCTTTAAAGCCACTTGTGGTCTTTCGATCACAGCAACACAAAGACACTTCTGTGGGGCACCTTCATGTACATCAACTATTATTCCGACTATTTCATTTGCTGCTCCTAGGTATACAATTCTGGAGACACTCAAAAGTTTGGGTCACGGAGTGTATTAACAATAGACAAGTACTACATTAATGCATACCTCAAATGAATAAGAACTAAGAAAAATATCTACTTGGAAATAAAATGGAAAACGTGTATGAGAGGCAGATACTGGTGCTCATTTCCAGAATTTTCCAGATGGTCAGCACTGTCTGGGCCTGGCTCTCAGACAACGAAGACAAGGCTTCTAGGAGCCCCAGCCCTCATAGTGTTCCTGGAATTGGCTCCTCCTCACTCCATGTGTGGTAGTGTCTGGCCAAGATGATTCTCCAGCTCTGGCTCAAGGAGCCTGGGCAGAGTCCCCAGAAAAGTATTTGGCCAAGAAGAAATCACACCATGATTGGGAAATTAAAGAAAACTACTCAATCCTATTTTTTTTTTCCTTTAATTCCTTTGGCAAGGACAAAGAGTCCCCCAAGCACCTGCTTTTACCTAATCCCTCAGTAACCTGTGGGTTCTTTCTTTGTGCAGTTGAATGACTTGCTGCAGGGGAGAGCAGCGGGACAATCAACAACCACGAGAAGAATGAAGCTGCAGACGCCCTCAGCAATGTGGGGAGAGCAAGCCTGGACTCTCTTTGAAAGGATTACCGGTCAAATTGCTTAATTTCTCTTAGGTTGAGGGAAACAGAGGAAGAAAGAGAAGACAAAGAAAATCCTCTCTAGGACCAATTATAGCTCACAATAGACAACAGTTCCAGAGAAGAACATCCTGGTGGAGTTTCCATGATGACCCTATTTGGTAATTGTGGCCTAATGATCAGAGCTGGGGCGAAACTGGAGCAAATGGCAAAACAGTGCCCAAGAATATGCAGCTCAGAAATCCAAACAATGATTGAAAAGAGCTGACCCTCAACTCTCAAATTTACACACAAAAGTTAGGATTCTAGGTGCCTAGCTTTATCCACGGACTTCATAATTAATAAATATTGGCCTTAACTCAGGGATGTTATCTGCACAACAGAACACTGCCCAGTCCTACACCATCCTATCCGTACGATCCACAGGGCTTTCGATGGCTGATTTTCAAAAGCAGTCTGTGGGAGTCTGAAAGGCCTACTGAAACCTGTGGAGCGCCATAGTAGCACACAAGCTTCCATTGACAGGTGGGCGCTGGCTGTGCCTGAGGTACACTGGCCAAGAATCAAACCTAGCCTTCCTACAAGCAAGATGAGGCTGCGACCACTAACTATAGGAGACGTAACGAATGCATCTCTCCTCCTCACCAGAGAAGATCAAAGTAAATCTGTTCGGAATGCTTTTCGGGGGAACTGGAACCCAGTTTTGACCAAAGGCATTTTGGGTAAAAGATGAACTCTGACCAATCCTTTTCTTGTTTAAATCATTTTATTGGGGGCTCGTACAACTCTTATCACAATCCATCCAGACAGACATCCATTGTGGAACTCTGACCAATTCTAAGGAGTGTGGATCCACTGAATGGGAAGACAACCTCCCTGACAGTTCCTAAGAAGTTTGTCCTTGTCCACACCATTGTCTCCGAACCTTGGTAAAATAAAGGCTTCTCAGTCCTTCAAGGAGTATCTTTGATAAGTAAAAACAATACAGTAGCTAGCTCAGTACACTGCTTTATGAATGGTTTATGTACTTTCTTATAGGAAGGGCATTGAAACAAACAAACAAACACCTCTTTCTTTCTTGATGGAAAGCCAACCATG